CAAGGTTGTGAGTCTCCTACAACAATTTATATTGACCCAGGATTCATAAATCTAGTATAGTAGACTGAGTTGCTGCACTATATGTTGTGATCATGTCTTTCTACTAACAACATTAATCACTTGCTCAAGAGGAAGTAGCAATTCAAGAGTGTTCCATCTCATGCTCCTGTCAGAAAGGACATCTTAACAGAGGGCTTAAGTGTTTCCCTTTCCCATTAGAGGTTTCTATACTCAGCCTCCTTAATAGGTTTTCCAGCTCTAACCTATCATTTACTCCTTATTAGACTTTTAAAATGAAAAATGAAAATGCAAAGAATCACATGTTTCATGAGAGAAACACTGTATAAGCCACAAGTTCTAAAGATGGAGATAAAATTTTTAAGGACAGTAGATGCATTTGCACATGAAAAATTTATTTTCCCATATATTGATTCACAGTTAGAGATGTGATTGAGATAAAAGGACTTTTTTGTTTTTCATTGTGATAGACTATTTACAACTCATTTTAAAATGAATAATTTTCTCCATAAGTAAGTACTAAAGTTAGCAGGAAACCAGCCAACACATCTGTCTCTGAAGTGTTCCAAGGTGAAGATATTAATGAGTTGGGTAGATTATGTATCTGACCACCATTTGATGCAGAAAAAAATGGAAGACTATGACTAATGTACAGGAAATGATGTTATTTGATACTACATTACATTACAGATTAAAACAAAACAAAAAATTAGGCTACTAAGAGTAAAATGAAATAAATGAGATTGTTTTTGGTATCACATACTACAGTTAATACCATTTCTTCCCACTGTTTTAGAGCATAAACAGAAGCATAAATCATTTTTACTAAAAAATTACTTAAATGCTTTTATGCCCTTTTCCAATCTGATTTTTCATTTGCCCTTCTATAACAGTTATTAGGTAACTCTTAGGGAATATTTAATTTGGTTTATGTACAAAAAAATTTAACAAGCTTTTGACTATTTTAAAAAATAAGATTTTGATCACTATTCTCTCGGACAGGATTGGCTAGTCCATAGGACATTTCTTTCTTTTTGATCATTTTCTTAAACTCCCATGAAGTACAAAGTAGGGGACCCATAGTCCCATAGTTTTAGTTTTAATTCTTTTGTTTGTTGGTTTTTTGTGACAGGGTCTCACTCTGTAACCCAGGCTGGAGTGCAGTGGCATGATCTTGGCTCACTGCAACCTCTGCCTTCCTGGTTCAAGAGAGTCTCGGCCAGGCACGGTGGCACACATCTGTAATCCCAGCACTTTGGGAGGCCGAGGCGGGTGGATCACGAGGTCAAGAGATCGAGACCATCCTGGTCAACATGGTGAAACCCCGTCTCTGCTAAACATACGAAAAAAAATTACCCGATCATAGTGGCGCGTGCCTGTAGTCCCAGCTACTTGGGAGGCTGAGGCAGGAGAATTGCTTGAACCCAGGAGGTGGAGGTTGTGGTGAGCCGAGATGGCGCCATTGCACTCCAGCCTGAGTAACAAGAGCGAAACTCCGTCTCAAAAAAAAAAAAAAAAAAAAGAGATTCCCAAGCCTCAGCCTCCCAAGTAGCTGGGACTCCAGGGGTGCAGCCACCATGCCTGGCTACTTTTTGTATCTTTAGGAGAGATTGGGTTTTGCTGTGTGGGTCAGGCTTGTCTCGAACTCCTGACCTTAGGTGATCTGCCAACCTTAGCCTCCCAAATTGCTAGGATTACGTGAGTAAGCCACCATGGCCAGCCAGTTTTAATTCTTTATTAAGGGCAAACATGATGGCATTTGATTGGGAAGGAACAAAGAAAAGAGTTCTCAGAATTTACATTTAGTCTTACCAGTGAAGAACATGTGTTAGTTACACTTTCAGATCATGTTCCCATACTTTTTTCTATGATTTCTGATAATTTTAGAAAATCATTTAAATAAGAATTTGTGTACAATTTATCAGACATTTATTTCAAATTGCTGGCAGTTTTTATTACTGTGGATAATATTGACTTGCCAGTTATACTGAGTCTAAAAATAGGATGGTCAATTAAACTGATCTATTAAAATATAAAAAATGATTTTTCCAGCCCTTTACACAAAAAACTAAAGTTTTAGTCTCATTTCTGCCACTAACTGGAAGCTTGTAAAGCCATGAATTCTCTTAGCTTTACCTTTATGATAAGGCCATTTTTAATGCTACAGTCTCATGATGAATACAGAAGCAGACTGCTGAAAGATTTGTTCCCTGCTTATTAAGTCATCTTTAAACCATCTGTACCTGGACTACATTTTGCTTACAATAAAATTAAAATGAATCCTTCAGTAATAAAGACATTTAAAGGAATGTTGGATAATACAATTCAAAGCACTAAAGACAATGCCAATGCTAATATTATTTTGTACAAATGTAATGCAATATGATAGTAAAACCACTATATCAATATTTCCTTATTTATGTTGTAAAATAATACAAGTCATAAAAGAACAAAAAATGTAAAGAAGAAATAAGTCCCTCATCATCTTAGAGGCCTTAATGCTATTATTTTGGAATGCTTCCTCCCATTTTTTCTTGTTCAGAAAATACTTTGTAGTGAATACAAGTTTTCAACATGGCTGTTTGTGGAATCCTAATCTATGTTGAAGCATTATCAACTAACTCTTCTTGCACACATAAAATAATTTAAATCACACAAAGTATTTGGAAAGGTTATTTCAGAGAGCAGTTCTTTGACAATTTTTCCCCTCAGTTGTAAGCCTGGTTATTTCACAAGGCTAAGATCAAGGTCCTTCAATATGGAAGTATCAGCAGGTCTCTGGGCACATTCAGAGAGAAATTAAACAGTTAAGTGGAAGGATTGAAGTTGCAACAGACATTTTGAAATTTTAATGTAGAAGATTTTAGGTTTTTTTCTATAGGTGGCACTTAGAAGACAAAAAGTTAAAGCAACTGCCTCAAGCAATGGCATGGCAATTGCCAGAATATCAAACACTTGAGTTAATCCATCTTTAAAAAGCTAATTCAATTAGAAAGTGAAGAAAAAGTTTATTCAAGAACCTGAAGCACACTCTTCCTGAATCTTCATACACTATCTCCCAGGTGCTAAAGAGTTTTAAATCTTTACCTCCAGTGTGGTCTCTCTTCTCACTCCAGGATAGCTCATTCAATTGCCCCTGAACCAATCATTTGGGTGGCTCACAGTTACCCCCTCTTCAACATATCCAAAACTGAACCTAGAAAACTTTGCTCAAGCCAGAAAACCAGGGAAACTCTTCTCTTCAAACTCTAAATTCAATCAATAACAAAATTGTGTCGGTCTACTCTTTAAACATATCTTTATTGATTTTGCTTCTTTTAATCCCACAGTGCCTCTCTGCTTTCAAACTACTATCATCTCTCAATATGCTATAATAGTCTTCCATCTGACCTCCTGGTTTTCTTCTTCCTCTCCAGTCCACTTTGCAGTAAGGCAGAGTCAGGGAGTGAAACTAAATGAAACGGATTTAGACTCATCCTTGATACAAAGATATAAGTATTTTCTGAGTCTAAACAACTGAAAGTGGATTGTAGTGGCTCTCATGAACTAGTTCTTTCCTTCTCAGAAGCATTTCTCAGAACTTTAACCTTAAACTGAAAGCTCCAAACTAACTAAAATACTATGCTTCAATGCAACACACCTCTCTCTTTTTGCATCTCTGCACATGTTTTTGGCCTTGCTTGAATATGTTCCACCTTTTGCCTGGCTAATTTCTGCTTATCTTTTGCTATAATCCCTCAAACTTCCTCCCAAATGTAGCCTTCAGTGGCCCCCAAGTCTTAGCCAGATACTCCCGCCTATGTGCTTCCAAAACACCTGCTTCATCAGGGAACGTGCCATACTGCATTGAGATTCCTGGATACTTGTCTGACGTAAAGGTCAGAATTGCGTCCTTCTAGCCACTGTGCTTCACACCTATATTTTCCAGATTTCTCCGAGTTCTGCCATCTATGCACTTTGTCTCCATCCAGCTGGACTGTCCACAGCTTCATGAACCTTGCCTTACTGTCCTTCCCTCTACTAGTTTCCCTTGAAGCACGCACATTTATCCAGATCTTACTTCCTCTTCAAAGTCCAGTTCATTTGGCCCACATTCATGAATACTTCCCTGATTTCAAAGTGCAGAACTCCTCAGAGCCTCTGTTACAATTGTGTGGCACTTACTGGCCTTGTATGTTAAATGCCTTTTTGCCTGTCTATTTCTCTTCCTTATAGTATGCAAACAGAAACCATATAGTAAATATCTGTTAACCTTACATTACACCAGTTAGCACCAGTACCTGAAAATAAATACTCATTAGTCTCCAGATTTAGAAATTGACATGTCAGATGTACTAACCTCTTTTAGGTTAGTATGGTATGGTATGTCTCTGTTGATATGTCTCTGTTGATATGTCTCTTCCTGGCATGCCTTCTCTCTCTTTGCTCTGAAATCCGTCTATCATTTTCCAGATTTACATCCTTAAAGAGACATTTCAAACTTTTCATCTTCCAGGGCATCTTTTTAAACTCACCTGTCAGACTCTGATTCTTCTTCCATCCTTCCTTACCTGTGTGTTTCCCTAGCTTTTTATGTTATTTTTTCAAAATGGTAAATGTATGGATCTCTGATCTGAAGGGGCTGATTGTGTGAATCTACTTGGGGGATGGTGACAAATATTAAATAAATAAATACCCATTGTATTAGTCCATTCTCACACTGCTAAGAAACACCTGAGACAGGGTAATTTATAAAGAAAAGAGGTTTAATTGACTCACAGTTCCCCATGGCTGGGGAAGCCTCAGGAAACTCACAATCATGACAGAAGGCTCCTCTTCAGAGGGTGGCAGGAGAGAGAATAAGTCAGCACAGGAAAAACTACCATTTGTAAAATCTACCATTAGATCTAATGAGAATTCACTCGCTATCATGAGAACAGCATGTGGGAAACCACCCCCACAATCCAGTCACTTCCCACCAGGTCTCTCCCTAAGTTGTCATCTCCCTGGGGATTAAAATTTAACATGAGATTTGGGTAGGTACACTAAGCCTAACCATATCACACATATAGAAAAGCAAATGGTTACAAATGTGGAAAAGTGGTGTGAAGATTATAAACTAGAAGGTAAGGTAGAGAGTAACTGGGAAGACTTTGAGATAAGTTCTCAGAGGACAGTTCTCAGGGGATGTCACATGTGAATTTAGATCTAAAGGACAAGACTTACAGGATGAAAAGAACTGGAACAGAATTCTGGGCAGAGGAAACAGCAAGTTCTAAGGCTAGGAGGGATTTGATGAGCTTGAAGAACAAAAGGGAGGCTCATGTAGCTGCAGCATGGTGAATGGGATAGGGAGCTGTCTTAGCTTGGGCTGCTATAATCAAATACCATAGACCAAGTTGCTTACAAATAAGAATTGCATCTTTTCACTCTTCTGGAGGCTGGATGTCTGAGATCAGGGTATAAGCATGGTTAGGTTCTGTTGAGGGCTGTCTTCTGGGTTGCAGACTTCTAATTTCTCACTGTGTCCTCATGTGGCCTTTTGTTGATATGTGTCTGTGGAGAAAGAAAAGGAGAGATTTCCCTCTCTTCTGCTTTATATAAAGCAACCAATTTTATGGGATCAGGGCCCCACCCTTATGAACCTCATTTAGCCTTAATTACCTCCTAAAAACCCTCACTCCATATATAGACACACTGGGGCTGAAAATTTCAATATATTAATTTTATAGGAGGGGTATATGAAAAGATAAGGTTAGAGAAAAGAGTGGAATGTATCATGCAGCACCTGGTAAGGAATTTGGATTTTATTTAGAGATAAAAAATAAAAATATATATAAAAATAGAAAAATCTCAAGTGTTAACCTAGCTTTCTTTCAGCTCATAGAAAATATATTCATTCAGTGTCCACTTATGAAGCTCCCATGCAAGAGAGACACTGTGCTGTATTCTAAGATTATAAGGATAAATCAATCATACACTTTAGCACAGAGGAGCTCACAATTGAGGAAGCATGGAATTGAAAAATATACTTACAAGGGAAGTCAATATTTTTGACGAAGGGTGTTGGAGCAACTTTGACTCCTGTCTCACAGCATACACAAAAAATGCATTGGAGATAATCATAGACCTAACTGTAAAATCTGAAACTATAAAGCTTATAGAAGTAACCACAGGGGAATATCGTCATGGCCTGAGGGTGGGCACCGAGTTTTTAGAAAGGACAAACATGTTTAATATAATGTATTAATTGTTAATTAAATATAATATACATTAGGTTAGCACAAATTAATTTTGGTTTTTGCCATTGAAAGTAAAGACAAAAACAGCAATTAATTTTGCACCAATCTAATACAATATAGTACAATGTGCATTACAATTATGATACAATATAATGCAGTACAATCCACAAAAAACAAGTAAATGAATACTTCACAAACCATATATAGGAATGGTCCATTAGCACGTGAGAAGATAATCAACTCATTAGTCATCAGAGAAATATGATTTAAAACCAGAAAGAGGTACCACCATGCACTTACTAGAATTGTTAAAATAAAAATGACTGGCTTATAATGAGGTATTTAAATAGCTTTGAAAAACGGTTCAGTAGATCCTAATAAAGTTAAACATATACTTATTCTACAGTCCATCAATTTCACTCCTAGGTTTTTACCCAACATTGAAAACAAGAGTCCACTTAAAACTTGTGCACACATGCCCACAGTAGCTTTATTCACAGTGGCCAGTAACAGGAAGCAATCAAATCTCCATCAACAGAAGCGTATACACCAAGTTGTATTATATTCACTTGATGGAAAAATACTCAGTAATAAAAATCCTGATGCATTCAGCATCATAGATGAATAACAAAAATATGCTGAACAGATGAAAATAGGCATAAAAGATACAAATAGTATCCTTGTATTTATAAGAAGTTCAAGTATAATCAAAACTAATCTATAAGGATAAAAACTGAAAAAAAAATTAGGGAGTGATGAGGGTTAGTAAGTATTGACTGGAAAGAGATCTTACAGGGGTAAAGGAAATCTATATCTTGATTTAGTGTTGGCTAAATGTTAGAATTCTTAAAACTCTACATGTAAGCTCTGTACATTTTACTATTTTTAAGATATATAAATAAAAAATACATTTACTAGTGAAATATCATGAGGAGCATAAAGGGAGAAATGCGAAAAACAAAAGGAGTAATTATGCCTTATGGTCTGACTGAAATATAAAGGGATCAAAACTGAAGTCTGTAATTTAATCTGACTCACTTGGGAGCCCATGTTGGGCCCAGACACAGAGTATTGAACTCAAATGACAATAGTATTTCACTCTACCAGGAGCATGGACCTAGCTCAATGACTGGATATGTCTTACTTTTTCAATCCAAACAATTACCCAATAACTCAGAAAATTCTGACCTTAAGACCGAAATTTGTGATGAGGCATGACTCCCCCCATTGGTAGAACACATTGCCTTCATTAGGCCTAAAGTTTGAAATCTGCTAGAAGGGTGGGGAATCTTTAATTTTGGAGCTCATTTCTGTTGTTTTCTGTTGCAGCCTGAGAATGCTAAACTTCAGGCCACAGGGCAAGCCTCATCTGTTTAGCCTCATTATTAAGGGAAGGGCGGTTCAGCTTTATAGTCTCTCTGGGAAGGGTGGAGATGCAATTTTTTTTATGCTTTGACTTGTTAATTGTAAATACAGTTCAGTGGCTGAATACTAGTTATAAATTCAAAAGCAAATGAAACAAATTACAATGAATAAGTCCAAGACAGCAGATTGAACAGTTTGTAGCTTTTTTAGCAGGATACAGGGAAGTAAAGAAAGATGAAGCCTACACAGACCTGGATAAATATTACAATAAGCACTATCTTCTTGATATCCATTTACATTTCTTTTTAAGGCTTCTTTATATCTCCGTGTGTTTTGGGCATGCTTCCCTTTCACTTTGTCTACTGAAATACTCATACCTGCTGTATTTCTGCTGTTAAGAGCTCAGTTTACTGAGCCCAAATACTAACATGATAACCGCTATGATATCACTGAACTTATATAATAAATTACGGTATACATACCATTATTATTCCTTATTTACAGATGAAGAAACAAAGGCACAGAAAAAGTAGGTTGCTTGTTCAAAATTACACAGCAGTCAAGAATTGAATTTGATAATCTAATAGAGATGGGAGGCTTAACTATCAAGCTAAGTTAATTGTCATCTCCTTGATCCTGCTCTTTCCTTTCTTTTCATTAAGCACCAACTTTGTAAGGCTTTATATCTGGTATTTAGTGTAAGCCTTGCAATGACTTTGAGAGGTAGCACTTTAAATCTCTATTTTACAGATTTAAAAACATCCACAGCACTAATGTTGAAAATGTTGGTTAACTTGCCCTGAACTGCGCAGCTAGAGAGTGATAATGACGCCTAGATTAGAACCCTTATCTACCGCCACAGCTATGAGTCTTTCTATCTAAAAGACAATCAGCATAGAATTTCTTCCAGAGCTGTTTGTGTTGAAATAAAATTTCAGGCATCTGAGGAAGTTATTTGGAAAAATGGTTTGGCGTGAAGACTCATCAAGTGACACTACAAAGAGGCCACTGTTCCTCTTCTTGTGAGGCTGGTGCTGGGCATATGGAATCTAAGCAATGAGGAATTGGGCCAACCACTACCTCTGCTTTCTCCTATGCACATTGCCCAGTCATCACTGTCTGCTTGACATATGGTGATGGCTATCTAAACTTAGTGTTTTACATCTAATTGTCTGGCTAATTTATAACATCGCTGCATCACCACTAAATTCATTTTGAAATCCTCTAAATTTGGTTCTTCTTCAATTTGACCTAGACAGTTTGAATAAGGTGGCTCATTGACTACAATACCATTAGTCTTAAGAAATTGCTGCAGGGAAGGAGTTTTTAAGTGTATCTTTGGAATCATTTCCAGAATATGATTTACCTAATTAGGTTTTACAAAAATAGTTTGAGAAAATAAACTTACAAGAAGAGAACCCAGAAGTGAGTTGGAAGTCAAGAGAAAGCCAGGTAGTGCAGATATCATTGAAACAGTGTGGAATTCACACATACTTTGTATATATATTTCAAAATCTTGAGATTGCATTACTCTTTTTCTAGTCAATTGTAACTTTCTGGGGCCTCCTTTTTCTTATTTTTAAAAATCAAGACAATAAGCCTGTTGATTTCCTGCAAGACATTTTTTTCCTTTCTATACTCTAATATACTGTGCCTACATATTTTGAGGTTTTGAAATATATAGAACTGTGGTTTCATCATTTCATTCATTCATCTGATATTCATTTCATAAATATTTATTGAGAACCTACTAAGTGACAGACACTATGCTGGTTTGGGGAATGAAGAAGACACAGTCCCTGTCCTCAAAGAGATCTGTACATAGAATTGAATAACACTGTAAAGATGTCTAACAAAAATCTCATGGTGACAAGCTTCCTGGAGATGACAGATCACAACTGCTTTTGCTTTTATTACAAAATATACAAAAGTTGACTTTACTTCACAAGCCAACAAGTACAAGTCTCCTCTCCAGCAGTGCTCTTACCTTTTGTGTGACTCCCTTGGAACCAGGAAGGTTTTTCTTTTTCTTTTTTTCTTCTTCTGCCTTTTTTTTTTGGGTACATAAATGAATAATACAGGAGACAACCCATAGCCAGTTTGTATTCCCTGCTGTCCTTCCAAAGCTTCATAGCCCAAAATAAAGGTGCTGCGGAGGTGGAGAACCCAATTTCCATTCTAAGTTTCACACAGTGGGTTTCAGTCAATTAAAATTTCTGTTCCTAAGATACAGTTGCTTATGGAGGCAAGTTGCACCCACATTTTTGGAAACAATGATCTTGGTCTAGAGGAAATTTTCTTCCCCCAATACCTGTTGAGACCTCAGGGATTCTATTCACTTGCTGAAGGAATGTCATAAAGCCAGCTTTATCTCCTTTCCCAGGCATCAACTTCTCCCTGTTATCTGGGTTTTGACTGTAAGCAACACAACAAACATCTTGGGTAGGTGGGGGCGGGGGAGTGGACAACATGTTTCTTGTTCTTTTTATCCTTACTAATACATTGGAACTAGGCCATCTGGCTGCCTTTTGGGTAAATCCATTTTATAACAAGATTTTTTTTTTTTTGGTGATTCAGTAATTAAACCCCTTTGGATAGGGTTCAAGATGGACCTGCCTTATGCTGAATTTCGCTTTGGAGCAAATTGTTAGTCACAGGTGCCAGTGAATGTATAAAGGAGCGTGAAAAATCTCTAATTACTTTTTGAAAATTGGTCATTTGTCTCAGAATTTTCTTTGACCTTAGGTCCACTTTTCTTCAGAGGTGAGTAAGGTGAAAATGTGCTCAGAATTGCCATCTGCTCTAGCATTGTTAAGATTATTACCTGCTATCTTTACCTAAAATCAAACCTCCTAAGGTTGAAATGTTGACAGGAAGAATCCTTATGTTGTTACTCACGACCAAAGTATAGTCAAACACCTCCATAGATTCATTCATTCATTTATTCAGTAAATATCTACTACATGCTAAGTTGAGGGTTCAGAAATCACAAGAGAAGCTTGTGAGTTCAGCATCATCATAACGTGATTCATTAGAGACTTAATATTTCTTATTGTCATTGTTATGTTGGGGCTTCAAACACTAAATGTGGCTTGTTTTATCATTATCTTTGGGATATTTTTCTAAGAATAATTCACCTATTTTGAGCAACTTACCTTTCTACCCCTCAACTCAAGAAAGTATAAATCAATACAAAAATGTGGTTAAAAATCAAGTAATCAGTCATGTTGTTCTTGCAATGTTATGGGAAAAATTTTAGCTTCCAGCCTAGTGGTGCTTCCAACTTATTTTGCCATGAATCATGGAAAGTTAATAGTCGGTTTGGGAATTTTTGTCTGGTCACGAATTCATATGAAACTCTCTCTGTAAAAACATCATCGATTTGGACTCTCACTCTTAAAAAATATTTTTAAAAGAATTTATATTTTTAGGGCATTTTAAGTTCACTACAAAATGAAGAGAAAAGTATAGAGATTTCTCATATATTCCCTGTCCCAACACAAGCATGGCCTTCCCCTCTGTCAACAGCCCCACTAGAGTGGTACATGTGTTACAAGTGATGAACCTACATTGACACACAAGGTCTATAATTTACACTAGGGTTCACTCTTGGTGTTGTACATTCTGCGGGGCTTAACAAATGTATTATGATATGTATCCATCATTATAGTATCACAGAGGTTTTTGGCCCTGCCTGAAAATCCACTATGCTCTGCCTATTTACTCCCCTAACCCCTGGAAACCACTGATATTGCTAGTGTTTCCACAGTTTTGTCTTTTTCAGAATGTCATATAGTTGGAATTATATAATATGTAATATTGTATATTGGAATATATAATATCAGAATTATATAATATGTAGCCTTCAGGCTGACTTTTTTCATTAGTAACGTGCATTTTTCTCCATGGCTTTTCATGGCTTAATAACTCATTTCATTTTATCACTTGACAATATTCTATTGTCTGAATATACCAAAGTTTGTTTTTCCATTCACCCTCTGAAGGATATCTTGGTTGCTTCTAAGTTTTGGCCATTGTGAATAAAGCTGCTATAGACATCCTTGTGCAGGTTTCTGTGTGAACATAAATTTTCAACTGTTTTAGGTAAATACAAAGGAGCACAGTAGCTGGAGTATTTGGTAAGAGTATGTTTAGTCTTGTAAGAAGCAGCCAAACTATCTTCCAAAGTGGCTGAACCATTTTGCCTTCCCACCAACAATAAATGAGAGTTCTTGTTGCTCCACATCCTCACCAGCATTTGGTGGTGGTGTTCTGGATTTTGTCCATTCTAATAAGTATATAGTGGTGTCTCATTGCTGTTCTCTTTTGCATTTCTCTGGTAACATATAATGTGGATCACCTTTACATATGTTATTTGCCGTTTTCTTTGATGAGGTGTCTGCTAAGACCATAGGCCCATTTTGAATCAATTTGTTTCCTTATTGTTGAGTTTTAAGATTTCTTTGTATATTTTGGACAACAGTTTTTTGTTAGATGTGTCTTTTGCAAATATTTTCTCCCAGTCTNTCCATGGCTTATATTCTCATTCTTTTACATTGTCTTTCACAAAGTAGATTTAAAAAAAAATTAATAAAGTTCAGCTTATCAATTATTTCTTTCATAGATGTTGCCATGGTGTTTCATCTATAAAGTCACTGTCATGTTCAAAGTTGTCTAAGTTTTCTCCTATGTTATCTTCTAAGAATTTCATAATTTTGTATTTTACATTTAAGTCTATGTCCAGTTTGAGTTAATTTTTTGTGAAGGATATAAAGTCTATGTCTATATTCACTTTTTGCATGTGGATGTCCAGTTGTGCCAGCACTGTTTGTTCAAAACACTATCTTTACTTTATTATATTAACTTTGCTCCTTTGTCAAAGATCAGTTAACTGTATTTATGTGAGTCAATTTCTAGTCTCTGTATTTTATATCTTTGATGTATTTGTTTATACATTCACCAATATCACACTATTGATTACTGTAGCTTTACAGTAATTCTTAAAGTCTGGTAGTGTCAGTCCTTCAACTTAGTTTTTCTCCTTCAATATTGATTGACTATTCTGAATCTTTTACCTCTTCATATAAACTTTGGAATCAGTTTGTTGATATCTGTAAACAACTTGCTAGAATTTTGATTGGGATCTCATTGAAGCTATATATCAAGTTGGGAGACTTTCTAGTTCTTTTCGTGTCTTCATTTTTTCTCCCTTCCATTCACTTTCTAATTGGTCAGATGAACCATCTCTCAACATACCTAAGTGTTTTCTTAGCCATGATCTAGTTACAATGTCATTTATATCAACAGCACTGAGGACTTGTTTGACAAGAAAAGCAACCCCCATTGTCAGTTAATTGGGTAACAATTCACTTTTATATCAAGTTAAATTGTTTGAATCTTTTAAATTGATAATGAGCTTGGAACTTCTTCTCAGGCACAAGAATAGCTTGCTTTGGGAGGAGTAGGCTATTTGCATTCTGGCATTGTCCTTGCTTGGGCATAGATATGCTTTCTTTTTTGAGCTTGTATGAATGGTTACTGCAGGCTAGCCTCTTTTAGTGGAGATGAAATGCTCTCACATTCCTGGGAATTCACCAGATGGTACCAGACCTCAGAATATAAGTGCTGACTTTCACCTCTTTAGTGGATGCTGTGTTGACTGACATAAACCACATCTCCATGATGAAATAGTTGACGTTTGACTCTGCAAAGACTAATCGACTCTGCAAAGACTAACAGGATAACTTAATGTATTTGGGGCATACGACCCATTGTTTGAGTTACATTTGGGATCACACTTGGGAAGATGTTTTTTTTCTGTTCTTACTGAAGTTTTAAAAGCTGCTTATATGATTATAATTTATTTCAAAATTTCCTGCAAGCAACCTTTGTTGTGAGATTTTTAAGACGTCTTTGGATATACCTTTAAAATATTTTATCTCATTTCACACTGTCTTAAATTTGACTTTATAGTATATAATGTTTTCTCCAAAATTATACCATTGTGTACTTTTGAGAAACAGATGGATGGGGTGGAGATTATGGATTATCAGAAGAATTCTTGTTGAATAGAATTTTGGAGACTCAGTCTGTTGGCAGAAAAAAAAGCTTTCTGCCACTTATTAGCAGAAACTGAGTAAAAAGACAAATAATTCTTTTATTTTCCTCCTGTGTTAAACTTTCTGTAGGGGTAAATTGAGTTAGTTTTGTATAAATGTATTAGTCAGCTTGGGTTGGCATAACAAAATATTCTAGACTTGGTGGCTTAAACCACGAAATTTTATTTCTCGTAGTTTGAGGCTGGACGTCTGAGATTAGGGAACTAGCATGATTGGTTTCTGGTGAGGCCTCTCTTCTTGGCTTTAGGATGACTGCCTTTTAGATGCTGATTGTATCCTCATATGGTGAAAGAGAGCTCTGGTCTAGCTTTCTCTTCTTATAAGGACACTAATCCCATCACAGGTCCCCACCCTCATGGCCTCATCTAAATCTAATTACCTCCCAAAGGGTCCCCCTCCTAATACCATTACATTTGGTTTTAGGACTTTGATACATTAATTTTTTCAATCCATAATAATATGTTCAATCTATAATAATAAACGAGAGCTTCTCTCATTCCGAATATGAATGTGCAATATTTCAGTGGGTTTCCTCATTGTTGGAAAAGAATAATCATGAGACATGCATTTGTTCAGTGTTATATCAGATCTCCTCTTTGAGGTTTATTTAGACTTTTTCTTAGTAACTGGCCATTTTATACTTTCCATTGGGATGACATGGCTAAAGCAGGAAGCTTTTGTTCTTCACCTCAATTTGATCCCTATCAAATTTCTCTTTTACTGTTTGTCTTTTAAACAAAATGTAAAATATTATATTTCACAAATGGGCTAAAAAAGATAGAAACTATTGCCTATCCTTTCAGTGCAAAAGAACAGAAAAAATATAGTATTGAGATTCTGCATAATAGTATCTAGTTTAAAAGTATTTCAGAAACACAAAAGGAGAGAAAAAAGATCACAACAAGCAGGCAGGTGGCTGTACAAGAAAAGGAACTTTATAATCGATGGTATGTGTTTCTGAACACTTGAGTTACTGCATAAACACATCCTTAATATGGCCATAACAAACAGCAGGATATGACTTAATGATCAAATAATAAATAACGACAAAAAAATTAAGCTACAGGTGTTACATGGTGAAGCCCTGAGCCATGGAGCAGAGTTTGGCCAAGTAATTTTAGCTCTTCTGCAGGATTTTTAAATCTCTCAAATGAATTCAAACCTTTTTATGAAAAAGAAATGTTATTTTTTAAAAATATATTATTCATTTGTATTTTACCTGTTATATTAGACATTATTTCTAGTTGGTTAATAATTGTCCATTTAATT